TATTAAATTTATGCGATTGTATGCAATGTCTGGAAGGACTTGAAATAAATCCCCTTTTCACTCTACAAATCTGAGCATAACTGTACTTCGATCTGTGTTGTTTTTTTGTATTCACCCTACAGATAATACTAATATTTGGGATATTGGGTTTGTGCGGATCTATGTAGCGTTCAGAAGAAGACTTGAAATAAATCCAACTCTTACTACAACGGTCTACGCTTGTATGTCCCTCTGCCTGTCTGCCTTTTTTTTTTTGAGTTTAAACTATTTCAATGAAACCTGACACAATGTGATATGTTTTCCGATTGTATTCGAATCGGACCATTTTTTCAACCATTTGTCTTGTAAAATGTCATTTTGAAAAGCAGTTATACGAATAATTGTATTAAGGGAAGTGGGGTATGGCTTTTGACGATGAATCGCGTCCCACTATAATGTTTTTACTGTTTATGCGAAAAGCTGTAAAACAAAAATTGAATAACTTTCATATACAAAATACCTGAAAAGAGCCGACTCACCAAAATTGAGGTTATGAGGTCATGTGTAATCTCTACCATTGCTGAATGTCGGTAATGCTAAGTTCTTGCATAAATATGCAATAACAAGTGAGAAAGTTATATTCGGTTGGGGCCGAATCTCACATCACCATTAAAAACTTTGACGCCCCGTGCGTTTATTTATTGTCATAACAGAGCGAATGAGAAAAATTTCTCTACCACACTATTGCGCCCACCACAATCAAGTGCGAATAGACATACTTAGCTTTTCGCATTCCAATCTCCAAAACGTTTTATTTAATACCGAAAAAAAAAAAAAAAAAATTAATCCACCAGGTCGTGACGCCTACCACAATTAATTTAGATTTGTCGCCTTCTACTCTCCAAGTCCTTTTTTTTTGACGTCCACATCGCTGGTATTATTAAGAAAAAATTAGCGAGCGATTTGGCCCATTTTCAATATCAACCTTCATGCAGAATTTTCGAATGCTTCTACTAAGGTTGAAGTCGATATCTTCATTTTTGCGACCAGGAGAGTGCCAACAACAAACACCGCACAGACGGACAAACATGGTTTAATCCATCCAGAATTTCATGTTGATCAAGAGTGCATACATATATTATGGGTAAAAACAAAATATATAAACCCCCACAGAAATGTAAATCATTGCGAAAACAAACAGTTATATGGTTAATGTTGAGGTTATGAGCTCTCTAAGTAGTCGTTAAAAACTGACAATGTTTCGTCTATGCACAAATTCTTAAAGAAATTGAGTACATTTCTAATGAAAAATACGTATAAAACTTCACTCGATCCACGTTCGAGGTTAGGCTTCAAATCAAATATCAATAATTTTGCATCTATGCATAAACGTGTAACGAAAATGCAGTGAAGTTCATAAACATGTTCGCAAATGCTTGAAAATGTTTCTTTACTTGGTCAATGTGGAGGCTATTTGGAATTTTTTTTGACTGTCAAAGGATCGACGTCAACATCCTCAGACTAATCCGAGTAAGAAGGATTTCAATGATCAAAATTTTTGGAATGTAATTTCGCAAAGTCTTCAAGCAACTGAACTGAACAGAACATATCGGCAAAAGAGACAACTTTTTGCCTTAAGGCAAACGTCTTGATATATTGTACGCGAAAAATTAAGAAGAAGAGTGGGCAGGTTTCAGCCTTCAACGTTTCTTAAATTGTAAGCAATTGTTTCCAGTGAAGGACTACAACAATTTCTTCTTATTTCATAACATTTAGAAGAGAAGACAGATGGTCTCTATAATTGTTGCTACGCCCAATGCAATAACTGGTTACATACCACTGGTATCTGTTGCCGTATGCTTTAGTAAAATTTCTATTTTTGTTTTCCTTTTCAGGCTGATTCTCCGTTGCTACCCATTAAAGAGGATAGTGAAGCGGAGGGAAGTAGTAGGGAAAGCATAGCTACTCCGCTGCCTACTGTCACTTTTTCCGAGCCACCAAGCAGCTTTACTACACCGACTAACAACATATCGCGAAGGTTGTCGACCATTTTTCCAAAAGCGTCTGCAGAATTAAGTCCAGGCCATAAACGTTACTCGATACCTTCACTACTGCCCGGTTCACGTAAGCTTAGCATAGGAAATATTGCGCAACCATTACATAATTTATGGGATAAGACAACTGGAGAATATCAGCGACGTAAATCCATACCCGCCCTAATGAGATACGAAAAAAAAGACGAAGCCGGCTATAAATCGCCTACCGGACGCCGCTTTACCCAATGCTATAGTTTATATCCAAAGGATTTCTTTTGGAATATCGAAGGTAAACCACCGCAATCCAGTACGAAAATGCAAGCAAAAGTTGATGCGGTTGGACGTGTAACTGGCGAATGGGGCAAATGGCAATTGCGTACCGTCCTTCTCATATTTCTTTGTAAAATACCGTCGTCTTGGTTCATGGCATGTATCATATTCACGGCACCCGCTCCCCGTCATGGTGAATTCTTTTGCAAACCACCAAGCCAGCTAGGCGTACAGAATCAAACGCTATGGATAAAGGTATCGCACCCTCAAAAGGAAGATGCCGACGATCAAGAATTTAACATAGATTTTTGTAATGTCTACAAAGATGCTCAGGCTCATGCCCATCATTATTACAGATACACTGATCCGGATGATGAGCCCCGTGCATGGGAGCAGCCGCTCCCCAATAAAACAGATGTGATCCCTTGCACTCATTTCGAGCATCGAGCCGACTTTCATTCAGTTATAACGCAATTCGATTTGGTTTGTTCGCGCGATATATTAGTGTCGGTGACGCAATTCTTTCATTTATTTGGTGTTTTAACCGGCGGTATATTAGCGATTCATTTGCTGAAATAGTAGGTCAACTCACTGAGATAAGTTTAATCTTTGTTCGTATTCTTAATTAATTTATTGATTTTTCCCCCACAGTTTCAGTCCACGGAATGTTATGCTATTCGGTATGATAACGCAAATCTTTTGTGGCAGCCTAACTGGTCAAGTCTCATCCTATGAATTGCACGTATTTTTTCGTTGCCTATCGGCTGTATGTTGTGCGCAAATGTACACCGCCGGAGGCATGATAAGTAAGTTCGACAATTACTTCCGTATCATCCCATCACCGGAGTAATATTCATTTTATCGAAACGTTTGTGACGCCTAGAAGGGAGTATTAGAGACCCCACAATGTATATATATTCTTGTTTAGTATCAAATTCTAAACCGGCTTAAGCGTGTCCATCTGTCCGTCTGCATAATGTCTTTCTCCTCGCCGCAAAAATCGAGCTATTGACTTCAAATTTGGCAGAACTATTGGAAGCTCTTGCAGGCAGATTGATATTCAAAATGGGGCAAATCGGTCGACCGGCACGCCCACAGCGCGACGTTTTTCAAAACAAATAAATTGTTTTTTTTTGGTCATTACTCAGAAATTATAGCAGATAAGTTAAGCAAAAATTTGAACACTTGTCCTTTGTGCGATGCTGTTGTACGTGCACACAGGTGGAAAAAAAATTGACCACGCCTACCCAGTATAATAGCATATCAAAGTTTAATTTTTTTTTCAAACCCTTATAGGGCTAAGAAACAAGCTTGAAAAGCCCCTTGAGGTATATAAATCCTTGGGCAGTTTCAAATGTAAAATGTGTTCATTGTCCATCTGTCCGCCTGCCCGACAGAGCAGTGTCTGTGGTAAATATTGTCCCGTTAGCGAAAATGAAGATATCGCCTACGAATTTGCGAAAGAATTTGAGAGCGACTTAAACACTTCTAAGACTCCGCCTACAACGCCCTCATCCCTTTACAACAGAAACTTCTATTTGGAAAAAAACAACACGTTATAGGCATAAAAAAGTAGCTCTTACTTCTTTTTTTGTTTTTGTTAGGATAGCGGTGATGGGTGTAAGAGATTCGGCCACGACCGAATATAATTTTCTTATTTCTATATTTGTTAACATATTTATTCGTTTAGTGGCCGATATTACTGGTGGTACTTATAAGACTTGTGTGTCTACATTGTTTGAGCAATTTTGGTCTATTGGTGTTATTTTATTGCCGGGTGTGGCCAGTTTTTTTTCGGACTGGACTCATCTTTATATGGCCATCTCTTGGCCGACTGTGATACTTATTTATTTGTGGCAGTAAGTTATGTTTATGCCCTAAATTTCCTAATTTCTAAGTAATTTTTTGCTATGCATTTCTCTTATGCGCTTTAGATGGATACCAGATTCGCCGCGTTGGATGGTTAGTCGCGGTCGGGTTTTAGAAGCCAAAAAAATACTTATCGAGGTGAGTGAGTAACGCGATGAGACACGGCTTAGCAAACATTACATACTTTATTGGTTATCAGTGTGCAGACGTGAATGGCACAAGACTAAGTCTTCCCTACGATATTGATCAGCAGTTGCAACTGCAATCGCAAACCGCTTTAGATGCACCGCCACCGGCAAATTGGTGGTCATTATGGAAGGGTGAGCGCGCTATACGTCATATGATCTGTGTGCACCTGTGTTGGTCCATTTATATTGTTGTATACTATGGCATGTTATTGAATATACGTTCATTTAGTCGTGAACACTTGGAAGTTAATACTGTGATAGCTGGCATCTGTGAAATAATCGGCACCTTTATTGGTCTTGCTCTAATATTGGCCACAACACGTAAATGGCTGTGGACCGGACTTTTCAATATAATTGCCGGTCTTATAGCTTATACGTGTTGGCTAATGCCACATGACAGTACGTATCCAAAATAATTCATTATATTTATTTATTTATTGAAGCGAAAACTTCCTCATGGTTTCCTTTTTTTTTGTTTAATTATTTTTCTCAGTTGATATTAATTCTCGCGTTGCCTTGCTTATGTTAACGGCTATGGTATCGAAAGTTGCAATATCATGTACGCTCGCCATTCTCACCACTAGTACTATTGAATTAGTAAGCAACGAGAAGCGTAGAGTGTGCGCTATATCGACAATATGCTGGGCACGTTTTTGGCTGCTGGGTGCTCCGTTTGTTGGAAACACGATAGTATTTGGTCAATTAGTGCCGCAAACGGCTTTTGCATCGATGGCAATTGTTGGTGGTCTGTTAAGCTCACTTATTTCTAGTCCGCCGACTACGGCTGTTGCGAGAAGGAAAGCCTCCCAAGCTACCAGTAATATGGCTACGGCTACTCAACTAAATAATATTGGACGTAAAAGCGTTGCCGGTATTGATAATAAGGCCTTCGCCAAGGGACCTATATTTAATAATGCAAACGGTATAAATCCTCAAGCAAATCTACCTCCAGAACTCACGCCAGATATATGGACGACAAAAATGCACAATAAGCCGACGATATGAATCAAAAATTCTTATATCGTTCTCAGTTTTAATCTTAAGATGCACTTTTCCACACCTGAACATGAACACAAACATACACATGCATAAAAATAACTTAGAAAATGCTTCTTTTTTTTACTATTTCCCATTTTATCTTTTAAGGCTGTCTCCGCAAATTAGGGTAAAATTAATTTATTATTCTTTTACAAACATTTACTGACACATAACAGATTTGATTATAGGTATCCTGAAAGATAATTGTCAATTAATTTTATTTATGTATATATAGATTAATAATAAATCAAAGTGATTATAATGTGAGCAGTTTTTTATTGTGATTGTGCACGGCTGTGTGTGTGTATCCATCCTTTGCTTTTGCAGAGCTATCGAAGTCACCATTCAAATCCTGCGTTATTAGAATACACTGCAGGCTCGTGCGTGGTCAAGCTTACGACAAAATCTACGTGAAAACTATTAAAATCCTTACAAGGGATCATAGTCAACTACACTACTCTATAATTATTTAATAACGACTTTTTAAAACTAGGTCTTTTATGAGAAGCGGCTGAAAAAGTGCTCCGATGTCAATCATTTTCAATAGCGTTCGACCTTAGGCCAAAACATACCGGTATATTCAATATATCTCAAAATATCTCAAAAATTGCGATCTCTAGGCTGAATATAAGTAAACAAGACGGACGGACAGGCAGACAAGCAAGCTTAAATCGATTCAGAAAATGACTGAATCGGCCAATATAGCCAATATAGCACAAAGTTTCTCTATGGCAAGTCCTTGTGTGTGTTGCACCCATGCGCACAAGCTTATGCACACACAAATATCACAAATTGTGTAAAGTTTAAAAACTAAATCGTCTTAAGGAATTCATTAAAATTTCATTCATTATTCTAAAGTGTAGCCGGTTTTATTTGCATTTTGTATAAGTATATCAACGTTTGCAATAATTATTAATATTCATGTTTGATCGATATTTGTAGGGCTTGACAGGAAATATTTAAAACCTTTAAGTCATCTGTTTTAGTGCTCGTACCAATAATGATGTTGGTAGGGATTTCAATTTCCATTGAATAATTGTTTCCTTTAACAAAACTAATTATCAAAAATCGGATTTGCTATATTTCTATGTCGGAGTCATGAATAATCATTTTCTAATATTTTCAAATGTCAATACGATAAAAATAAATTTGTTTGCTCTTATTGTCAGCTGCAACTGCCAAGAGCGTTAATGGCAAACAAATATCCATTAACATACCTGTGCTTTGCGTCAAATCGTAAACCATTTCGTATATTCAACAGCTGTTTTCTTTTATTATCAATGAGGAAGAAATGCTTAAAGCGAATTTAACTGTTTAACTGTCGGCGTTTACAACTTCATTTGTTTCTATTATAAAATGTTAAAAAAGGAGGTTTTTTGACATTTTTGAGATCAATTTATAGCAAATAGAATAACATTGAATAGAATTTCCAATTTGTAGGTGTAAAAATTTTTTAGTTTATCGTGATTTTAATTACATTAAAGACAAGTGATTTAATACATGATAGTTTGTTAGCGAAGTTGGAATCAAATATCGACAAGCACATCGTGCCAATAATTCATCTTTTGCCACATCACGCACATCTATCCAATAGGCTACTTCCTCAGGCACTACCAGAACGAGCTAAACAAAGTATTTCTTGGCTCTAACGGAAGCCATAAATTTGTTTATAAAAACAGTACTATGTGTGGAGAATGAAGAGAGCACAGAGTTGCTTTTAGTAAGTAATAAGCAAATAAATAAGAGAAATTGTGAATAAAAACTCTCTCATCTGTTAAATGGGACGAAGTAGTAGAAAAAAATCGTAACCAGTACGATTGTAATAAAAAGTAAATAATTTTGCATTTATTGTTTGTATAACGTTATGTTGGTTGCACTTATTTGTTTGCCGTTTGGATACCATTCAACCATGATACCGGATTCTCAACACGGATTACATGCGGCAGCCTTCAGATTTTTAGATCGCTTTCAAACTCAATAGTATCCAAGGAGAATGAGAATTTCTGCTGAGGATAAGTGGCGCTCTTAAGGACCGCGGTTTTAAATTCCTATGGTATTTATGTCATAAAACAAACACCTTCATATGCAAATCCCAATCTTTTGTCTGCGTTGTTTTAAGTCATTTATGGTAACCGCATCACTTTCACGAAAAGCCCGCTTTATATTTGCGTCATTACCAGGTGTCCGCATTAAAATCGCCTTAAAAACCGCCGCATGTGCTCCATGATTCTACATTCATGTGTGTGGATTTCTTGTTTCGCCTAAGGCAGTGCTCTCTATCACTTTAAGATCTGCAATTCCTTGTGTTCAACGAACAAGTTAAGAAATATCTGTCATTGCGGGCAGTTCTGAGTTAAAAAAGTTCGGAAAAGCAGTTTTGAAAATGGAAACTTGAAAGTAATGTGAAAACAGTGTCTATCCATTATTCAATTCCTGTACCCAAAAAATAATTGGGTGTAATCCCTTCGATGTGTATATTCTACACATAAATACTTGAAAATGATGTACGTTTAATGAATATAGAAAAGCCTTGATAGCGTTTCAAAAACCAAAAATCTGTGGAATTAAAAGCGAAAAAGAAATAAATAGTTATGAACCGAATTGTATCCCCTTTGTATCGGTCGGTATTTATCTTTCCACTGCTTATTGGTTTAATTACTATTTTTTGGGTGCACATTTTCATTCATGAACTAAAAAAAAAAACGTCAATTCCATTATTTGTATTATATTAAAATAAAACGTAGACCTCTTTTCATATTTATAGTGGCATCTAGATGTCAAAAAGTATCGTAAAAAACTTATATGCAGCAAAAAGAAGAAAAAGCAAAGATCGATTCAACTCGCCGGAAATCATGCACATTAGCTTTTACGCTTACAACGTCACCTAGACGTCGAAAGGCATAGCTAAGAACGTACATGCGCCAATAAAAAATGAAAATAAAGACAAAAAGTCGTAACACTCCTGTTTTTTTTAATTTCATATCGTAATTAATCTCGTATATGCGCCAGTTGATTTTTTTCTTATATGACATTTTATTACGAAGAAGTGCTTAAAGCGGAATCTTGACATTTAGAACGCGCCATTTGTAGATTTTCTTAAATGTATTGCTTGAGTTTTACTTTGTGGTAGAAAAAAGTTTTATGCTCGCTTTTTTTTTGCTTGTGTGCCTTAAAAAAAACTGTGAATTATTCAAAAAAAAAAGATCAAGAAATTGGAGCAACTGTTTTGTGATTTTGTGAATGAAAAAAATGAATTTCACAACAAATGATATGGATGGAGAAAAATTTTCAGATGCAAAACAATTGGTTTTAGCTGAAAACTCTGATGAAATGTTGCCGGCAAATTCTCTAATTGCAGTTAATAGTCGATCGGTGTTAAAGGAATTAAATGTAAACGATGGCCATCAAAAAACTCTGGTAAGTGTCTGGATATAAAATTAAGCATAACATTGGTGTTTTTAAGTGATATGTAAATAAAGTTTTAAGTTTTCTTTTTAATGCCAAGTTTGATGAGAAACAAATGGTAAGAACATTGAATGAAAAAACCATTTTGTGCAAATAAATTGTTTTTTTTTTTTGCTCCAAAAAAAAAAAAACAAAAAAAAAAAAAAAGCAAATATTCTAGAATCTGTGCCGTTATTTTAACATTTGTATAGCTTCAAAAGAAATTGCTCGCTTACATACAAAACTTGTACACTTAGAAGAATTAAATGGCTTTAAAAGAAAGCTTAATATAAATGAACATATATATAAATATACATACACACGTTTGTATGTAGTTATGTATGCTTTAAAGAAAATTTAAGTTAGGCAAAATGACTCGGAATAAGCGTTTATTGTGGGAAATTGGTACCACATATATTGATCAAAATGGTTTCCATCTTATCCAGCGATCCACCCACCGACCCATTTTCCCATTTCTTCAATTTTGCGAACACACATGCCAGCCTTGCCATGCTGCACCGATCTGTACAAGTGATAATCAGATGGCGCTATGTCTAGTGTGGGCGCTGAGTGCAGCAGAACTTCTTTTCGAACTGCAGCAGTACATGCTCTCTTGCAACAAAGAATGACATTCTCAGTCAATTCTTGTCGCTACTTTTAGACCGTTCACCCCAAGACCGACAATTGGGATATGATGGAGCAGCGTCACTATAAACCTCTGAAAGTGTTTGGTGGGCTCCGGCAGAAGATTTTCTTAAATAAATAGCAAAAGTAATGAATGAAATCAATAATAAGTGCAAGACTGTTATTTTATCTAGAGCAAAACTGTCTATCGAAGGTATTGATGTGAAATTAGACTTAAATATATTCTGGAGTCAGATAAAAGGACTAATGGCTTATTAGACGCCGCCATATAAAATAAATTTTTTTTTCTATTTTAGTTCATTGATTAGAGGCGGTGAATAAAGCGATAATCGCGTATCACTTTCCTAATAGTTATATTAATTTGGCACCATGATCTTGGGTTTATCCATCCGTCTCGATTATTTTGGTTTCCTACAGAGCCTTAGATCAAATTTGAAAAGTCCATTGCCACCTATAAGCATCCATAGCCGATTTTCACCTAAAATTTTTGGAGCGAATATTAATGAAGACTGTTGTAGACCTTAATAAAAAAATAGGAGTGATTTGTTTCAAAAACTACAAATGGTTCAGTGAAATTCCAATGGCTGCGATAAGTCATTTCATATGCTCGCTTTGTGAAAAGTTCTTTGCGGTACTTATTTATTTGTTTATAACTGGGTAAGAAAGGGATCTGAGTATAATAGACTACACACATTTATACGCAGAATACATCGTTTATATAGAAAGTAAAGTCATCATCAGAAGAACTGCTGCAAAGGGTTTGATAGTGTGCCGAGTCAATTTATTAATACTGGCAGATCGAAAGAGAAGTGAAATTGTAAGGGGCTGTAACTTTTTAAAATCAGAAAGTTTTTGCTCATAATCAGTACCAATCACTGAAATCAGAAACTTAAACCAAACGAAGTGAGTTGACGCCATATCAAACGAACCAAAGATGATATTCCAAATTAATTTCGAGATTTTGTGAGATTTATTACAAACTTACCCGCTTCATCCGTCAGAGCTACCACTTT